CGGGCACTCCTTGCTGAATGTTGTGTGCTGGCCGCGGCAATTGGGGCAGCAAGGACTAGCCTTGCATTCCTTTTCAGGATGCCCGGTCTAGCCACAACTAGGACACACGGCTGCGTGACGGCATCGTGACTGGCTATGACCGCACTTCTGACACTTGAAACAGCGCACAGTGTTCGGCACATAGGCTGTACGTCAAGTATCAAGTAAGATGCCCGAACGGTGGCTGGAGATTCGAATGTTGAGTACAATAGCGTTTATAGTGTTTGTGTCAATAGTGGTCTCCCCCTGCCGAAGAGTAATCCGGCGGGCTTCAACCACTCTCTCACAGTGCTCCACAATTTCTTCCAAGGAGCAGCCTTTCAGCTCATGGCTGCAGACAACGCCCTTCGAGCGGTTAAACTTCTGGTAACGCTCGGACTTACATGGAATACCGCCGAAGGCCGTGGTATCCAGGAGTTCGGTCACTTCGTCCTCAGTTGCACACTTGACAAGGAGTGCACCACAGGAAAGTTTCTGTACACATGAGGGGATGTATCCCAGAAATTTCCGCAGTGCATCTCCTGTCTTAAAGAAATTCAAATCGGTGATCTTACTTTACTCTGTGCATCTTTACTTCCCGAGATGGCCACGTACGGCTGCCTCGGAAGCTCCCTAGGAGAAGGGAGGAAAGAGGCAGCGGTAAAGGTCCTTTTACCTTTTGATTTGCTCGGCTCGGCGGCCGCACCCGTTTCCGTGAGCCGAGACTTTTTACCATAGGGAGCTGGGGAAAGGTCTTTGGAAGTTTTAGTATCCATAAAAGAGTTTTTTAGGTGATTTGACTCCGGGGCTCCCCGCCTGCCACCGAGCCCAACAAGGGGACACATTGCTTGGATAACCGGAGCTGCGACAGGGCTACCCCAGAGCTATACTCTTTATGAGAAAATACGAGACCCCCCGTCAAGATTGACCCAGGGCTTGAAGGGGTTTCAGCTCTCAACCGAATGAGTGGCATGGGCCGTGCCACCCTCCTGTGTAAGAGGAAAACCGGGGCCAAAGAGGTGTGTTGGCGAGGGACAGTCCATAGACTGATCTCACCTCAACCGCTAGGTACCCGGTTTCCCTCGGCACGGGTTGCACCTCACCGTCAACGAGGCGCCCACTCTGTGGGATGGGTGACCTCTCTTTTTGATGCACATGAGGTCAGCGGTGGGAGAAAAGATAGAAGAAGAAAGAAAGAAGGAATGAGAAGAGGAAGATACACCAAAGTCGGTGTCGCATCCGGATCCCAGAGGGTTGGGGTCCGTATGCGACACCTCGTCTTTGAGGGGGTTACACCTCCTGTAGACGAAGCAGTGAGTCTATTTATGTCCCCCCGACCCACTGGGGGTATTTTGTCGTCTAAAAATAGCATGGATACAATTGATAGTCTTTATTCTCCTGGTAAATTGCCTTTGAAATCATGAGGATGGATTAATATACAGTGGAACTCGGATTCAGCGGTCCAGGCGTTGAATGTCGCAGATACAAACACGTCACAGTCTTTTTTTCCCCTCGGCAACTGATCATTATTACTACAATGATAAGCTTGTCTTGACGTAGATCTACGTACCGTAAAGAATTGTGCGCCTGTCTATGGAATCAAAAGTTGCCGTATGCTAGGCTCTAAACAGCAACACAACTTTTTGGCAAACAATCGAGATGACACAGGCGTGCATTTGAACAAATCTGTGGGTTTTTTACACAGCTCATAATATACAGGCATTTCAGGCACTACTTGTTACTTCTCTTTATACATTACTTGCTCAGTGCCTGTAATTATCTAAACAAAACCTCACGTTTGCTCTAACGAAAACTCAGATTCAACGAGATTTTAGGTCAGGCCCGGCAACCTTGTTGAATCCAAGTTCCACTGTAGTGAATTTTCATAATTATTGTCGTTTTTCGCAAAATGTAATTTTTTTGCAAATTTTTCCCTACTCCTTCCTTAGTTTTCATCCTTTTGACATGAAACTTTCAGGAAACATAGATGGCAAGGCTACCATCAATGTAACAGAGAGATATTTGCGAAAAAAAATAACACTTTTCCATTGGCAAGCGATAACGCAACCTAAATTTAGAAAGTTTTTTTTATACTTTTGGAAAATTCTCTTTTTTTTTCTTTTGCACTTATTGACAAAAACTTGCTGTTATTCTGATAGGGCTTAGTTCCGGTGTATACTTTCACCAAATTTGGTAAAATTTGGTCAGTAAATAAGAAAGCCTTAGGGATTTGAAATTCATTGGTTATTTTCAAGATGGCCGCCGTTTCCATTGCAACCGCTACAGCTATGCCAAAAGAAAATTGCATATCAAGAGATTTTACTATGTCTAACTTATATGTGTACTTAGGCAACAAACATAGAAAATTGTCCTGAAGGGTAGCTCGTCCCGTTAAATAGGTTTTGAGATCTGTGATCTTTTTCTGTGCATCGGTGCTGCGGATGGTCAAGTATGACTGCCTCGGAAGCTCCCTGGAAAAAGGGAGGGTAAAAGTGGCCTTAAAGGTCCTTTTTCCTGAAGAGATAGATGGTTTGCTCCGCTTAGCGGCCGCACCCGCATCCAGGAGCCAAGACTTCTTCACATTGGAGCTGGGGAAGGGTCTTTGGGGTTTTCTTATTCCATATATATATATATAAGATATGTAGATGGTTCAGCTCCGGGGCTCCCCACCCTTCATAGGGCCCAACAAGAGGACTCATCGGTCGAATAGCCAGAGCTGTGCCAGGGCTCCCCCGGAGTTATACTCTTCGAGAGTGTGCAAGACCCTCCCATCAAGATTGACCTAGGGCCTGAAGGGGATTCAGCTCCCAACTGATTGAGCGGCATGGGCCGTGCCACCCTCTCGTCTAAGAGAAAAACATGGGCCAAAGAGGTGTGTTGGCGAAGGACAGTCCGCAGACTGATCTCACCTCAACTGCCAGATACCCAGTTTACCTCTGCACGGGTTGCACCTCACGGCCAATGAGGCGCCCACTTTGTAGGATGGGTGATCTTTAGTTTTGCTCCACTTGAGGTCAGCGGCGTAAAAAGAGGTAGAAAAATTAAGAAAGAGGGAAGGAGAAGAGGAAGATACACCAAAGTAGGTGTCGCATCCGGATCCCAGAGGGTTGGGGTCGTGTGCGACACCTCGTCATTGAAGGGATTACACCTCCTACAGACGGGGTAGTGGGTCTATTTATATACTCCCGACCCACAGGGGAGACAGAAAGGTGAGAGCCCAGCTCTTGCTGGATCGATAACAACAACAACAAAGAACGATTTTTACTGCCCGGTCTTGTTCTTTATATAATTATATTATATATATACAGTGGAACTCGGATTTAACAAGCTCGGATTCAACGAGAGCTCGGATTCAACGAGATGAGATAGATTCCCCATTTTTTTTCTTCTTTAAAATCAATACAAGTAACTCGGATTCAACGAAATCGCTTCCAGAGTGAACAGCCCCCGTGGATGTGGCTTCACTAATTTTTTTCCCATAACGAACTTTATCTATTCCCGGAAACCATCCATTGCACCTGCATCATGAACCATTAGTCACTTAGCCGTTTGCATGCGACCAATCAGCGGCCTTTTTTTTTTCATACCAACACATGCGCTGTTGACAAGTGCATGCGTCTACTCTGGCGTGTGTCAGGGTCGGATGGGCGGCCTGCACACTTGTGACTGTGTGTGTGTGTCGCGGAGGGGGGAGGGGGCACTAGCGGTCCGGGCGTCGAATGTCGCATATATATACAAACGCGTCATAGTCTTTTTTTCCCCTCGGCAACAGATCATATTACAATAATAAGCTTGTCTTGACTTAGATCTACGTACTGAATTGTGCGCTGGTCTATGGAATCTAACGTTGCCGTATGCTAGGCTCTACACAGCAACACAACTTTTTTGTAAACAATCGAGAGGACACAGGCGTGTGTATTTTAACGAATCGGTCTTTTTTTTTTTTACACAGCTCATAATATGCAGGCATTTCAGACACTACTTGTGACTTCTCTTGTACATTACTTGCTCAGTGCCTGTAATTATCTACACAAAACCTCGAGTTTGCTATAATGAACACTCAGATTCAACGAGATTTTAGGTCAGGACCGACGACCTCGTTGAATCCGAGTTCCACTGTATATATATATATATATATATATATATATATATATATATATATACAGTGGAATCCTGTTATAACGAGAGGGAGGGGACCGGTGCGAAATGTCCGTTATAGCAGGATTCTCGTTATTAGGGATCCAGCAATAAATTCAAGGGAAATAGTAAAGTAGGCCTTACCTATGAGTTTGGTGTTCTGTTTATTCCTTTTTGTATTTCCCCTGATGATGATTTTGTTCAACATGATCTCTATGTCTTACTTGATCAAAAATCGAATCAGGTTTCTTTCTCTAGCGCTAGCAAAGTTGACAAATCGGCTTTGGCGATCAGAAAGAAGGGGATCTGGCTCTATGCTAACTTGCCCGCTGTGTTGTTCCCCACCCCACCACATCCTGTGGTGCGTTGCGTCTGCTTGCGCACGTCACACATTCGCTCCATCTATCACAGCATTGTGACCTCTCCATCCCGCACCAGGGAAGTGAGAGGCACGGTATGCCTAGATAATCTAGACTGGGTTGGCCTATCCCGCGATGCGTTCTGCTTGTCTGCGCATGCCACACCCTCCCTACTCATTCGCTCCGGCCTTCATTGTTGGTTCGCGTGGGCTCTCCCGTTCTTTGTTTCATTGGATCACCAACAACTTTCTCAACTGGCGAGGTTTTATATGTTTAATTGGCCTGTGTGCTGTTCACATCAGCAGCATTATTCCACTATAACCGACTCCCGTGTTTTTCCGATTGCGCTATAGCAGTATTTTATTTACAAAGATAAAGAAGGGAAAAAACGGGGTTTTAGAATAGTGTCTTTATAGTAGACTTCTCGTTGTTTCAGGACTCGTTATAAGTGGACTATTTTGAATTCTTTTAGATTGAAATCAAGGACTACTATACTCAAGGACGTGCACAGTCGGATTCCTGACTTGGCTAGCGAAGGCCATCGAGTCAAACACTCCGGATATTCCCATACTGACTCAGTGCCTTATCTTTAGCTTTGACTCGTTCGTAGGAATCGGGGACTATTTATCTCCTTTGAAGTAGAATGAATCCTATCTGTAAAATTCGTTGATCTTAATAAAAATGATGCAGAAATGAATCAGATATTGAAAGGTGTCAATATTTTTATTTTTGATTAAGATTCCAAGCAAAGAAATGTAAGCATAATTATGGACACCATTTATCCGCGTAAGCGCATCCTTCCGGAAAGAAGTGCAGTGATCAATGTATACGATTCAATGTCAAATGTTGTTCCTCTCCTCATGTTTCTCGGAGAGTTTTTGTCAATTCTGTGGATTATTGTGAATTAATCGGCCCGTCTATGCGCAAGGATAGTTTGATTTCACCATGCCGAATAAATGTGGGGTTGTAAACTGCAAGGTAACTAGAATAAAGACAATACATGTCGAGTGCTCAAGGTACCAAAAGAAGGACTTGAGGGACAAAGATGGCTTTCTGTTTTACCCCCTCGTGAAAACTTATCTGTGAAAGGCATTGGCCATCAGATTATCCTGTGATTAAATTACCTGGAGGATACACTCGACCAATAGATCCGCCGAGTTTTTTTGATGTTCCCTCGTCTTGCCTACCAACGCCAAAACCACCCCCTCGTCCATCCAAACAAGAAGATCAGCAACTCCGTCATTTCATGAAAAAAGGCAAAATCTGTAGCCTTTCAGAATTTTCTCCAGAAAAGGAACTCCACAAGAAATATGACAATTTAATTCTTTCAAGAACAGAGGACAGATTTGTTTGCCTGTTTATGACCGAGCATTGTGAAGAGTGTGTTTTATCAGTAGTTGTTGAGAATAAACCAACATTGTGCTCCCCTCTTACACTCACCGCATTCAAGAAAGGATCCAGAGTTCCCTGGGAAAAATATTAAATCCAAATAACGGATTGAATTCCTACACCCAATTTTTTGAGTGTGTGCACGTCGACCTAAACTATAAAGTTCCTTTGGATGTTGTGCTTGAGAGAGTTGTGGAAGTATTGGAACAATCACGTTGCACAAAACTTGAAGACCCAAAGGTAAGAGCCTAGTATACTGGACCAGTAGTGTAGGATTAAGTTTTAAAAAATAATAAAAAGCAATGTCGATCCTTGCTTTGCAGTACATATAATCCAGTGGTTTATAAAAAAAGGATTATTTTTTCATTTTCCTACTGATAAAATCTCGTACCTAGACAGTTGATGTTTACAATTGGTAAATCTAGATCTAGATCTAATCAACAAATTTTGAAGGACTAGAGTAAACTAAGGTAAAGTTAAGATCTTGATTTCTTGTAATTTGTAATTGCCTAGGGGTCCAGTAAACTAGAAGCTTTCTATTATTTTGTTCTTTTATTCAGGAAAAGAAAAGGGAAAGAAAGCTAGACTTTATAACTCATCAGCTGAAACTGTTGACTCACAAACAATTTTCTGTAAGTGATTGCTGTTTCGCTATCGAATCGTTTCCCCGCTGCAGTTATGAACAACTAAGAGACACTTTGGTCTAGCCAAGTACAAGAAAAATAAAGTCTGTTGTTTCCTCCTTAGAGATTGAAAGTGTTTTTTTAAAAACATTTCAAAAACTTAAAACACCTCAACAAAAGAATGTGTTTTTATTGATCGACGAGGTAAAGATCCGACCCACTGTAGCTTTCTCTGGTGGTGTCCTCAGCGGCATGGCCAAAAATGAACCGGATTCTAGAGCGACATCCATGTTATGTATCATGGTCAAATGCTTGCATGGTGGACCTAGCATTATGATGTCAGTGATACCAGTACATAAACTTACAGCATCATTTCAATTCGAGGCTGTGAAGGAGGCTACGGCTCTAGTAGAAAAGACAGGAGGCATTGTGAACCCCCTATATGTCTACGTATGAACTGACTAGGATTGGACTTTCCTTTGTAAAGAAAGCAAAAAATAGAGTATGTTGTCGTCAGAGACTTGTTGGAATTCTATCAACCATGGGGGAATTTAACGACTTCGACATCGTTCAGTCCAAGAAACTGCTCCGTCATCTCGCAAATGTCTTACTCCGCGGTCTGCACAATCTAGAGAAGGATCACCAAAAGAATGCAGCCCTGCTACAGACATCCATCAAGAAGGCACGTAAGGCGGATTCACTTGGCGAGTAAGCCTAATTCTTGTTGCTGTATTTGTAAACATTTTTTAAATGCTTTTCAGACTAATATTTCTGCTTGACATAACAAAAATATAGAAATAACATGTATTACTATGCTACAATATTGCGTTCAACAACATTACAACAGGTTTTAGCTTTCTCACACTCAATATGAAATGTATCTTGTGCCTAGTGATAAGTTGGACATGTTTATATGATGGCCTTCGCTAGCCAAGTCAGGAATCCGACGGTGCACGTCCTTGAGTATAGTAGTCCTTGATATATATATATATATATATATATATATATATATATGGGCAATTCTCCAGAAAGTTTGAACTTTCCGTAACACGAGTATCAAATTCTCCAGAAAGTTTGAACTTTCCGTAACACGAGTATCAAATTTTAGAATTCAACCAAATAACTCAGTACATCTTTGACATGTCTAGTTTTGATCCCTACACGGCTGAAGCTAAAGCTTGCTTGGTTTCTGTGGAAACGGAAGTGAAGTTTAGACTAGTGCGCTATGGTCTTAAACTTCAACGTTACAGGACACAACAATACGGGTCAAAACATGAAATGTAGCAGAGGGAAAGAAAAATTGATAGGGGTAGCATTATGTTCTTTAAATTCATTGTTTGTTCACAAAAATTTCAAAACATTTCTTAAAGAAGAAAATGCTTATCAAACAATCATAATGTCTTTAACGTTACCTTGCAAAAATCATTTTTCAAATAGAAAACTACCTTTATTTACAAAAATACTAATTCAAGTAGAACTTTAAAAGAGTATTGCTAAAAACGGGTCATTCAATGCTGTAGTTTCAGCAAATATGAACAAAATCTATAAGTGTTTTCGGAAGCAACATTAGCTAAATATAGTAGTCTTAAACGTTACAGGACAAAATATAACAAAGGAGTGTGCAGAAAAAGAACGATTTGCTTCTTAAAAGTAATATGCACACCTACTGAGCATGAATTAAAACATGTATTATAATACTTCTTTGATGTTATCTGTCATATTTTTAGAAGAAAAAGACATCAACTTATTGACTCATTGAGCATATTATTGAGACTTCGCATTTTCGGGACAAAAATCGTGTGGCAGTTACAAAGTGAAACATGAAATTTCCCAATAGTGAAAGAAGTAGCAGTAGCAGCAGCAGTAGTAGTAGCAGGAGCAGCAGCAGCAGCAGCAGCAGCAGCAGCAGCAGCAGCAGCAGCAGCAGCAGCAGCAGAGTAGAGTATCAAAAAAAGATATTCACATCTCCTTCTTTATCGCTACTAACATTGTCAAAATACATCGTTAATCGTGGCAGCAAAGAGTGTTCTATCTTCCTGTGATTTCTTGTGACATTATGATGATGTTTACTTCCCACAAATGTTTCCATGGCATGGGGATCGTATTGAAGATTATTTGGGACCGCAACGATTTTTAGTGAGTCATGTAGCATCCCATTTGGCACACTGTTGATGAATAGTTCCTTGTCTGTAGCTCGAACAGGAAGATTGAAGCAAATTCATCACAGTATGGACCTCTACTTCCCTAACGTAACATCTCTTTATGATTTCAAAAACACGTAACATTGCCATTGAGCATGAAACAAGTGTATGGAATGTTTACTAGCTTCTTTTCAAAGTCCAACTTCACTAAGCAAGGATGAGGAATTCCAATATATGTCTTTTTGCCGCTGTTTTGATAAAGAGTTTTCTGACGTACATCTTCCAACGTTTGCTTTCGAGCTGCTTTGACTTTTGGAAAGACTTTCATAACTCTGTGGACAGCTTGTTTGCATGATGAGGGTGTCTGTATGACACTTCCTCGAATATCTTGAATCTCTTTTTTCTTTTTCTCTGTGTCTTCACCCTTTTCCTTTTTTTTTTGATGGAACCTTTCTCTAGCCTAAGCATTGTCTGCCCTTTCCTTCTGCCCTGACCAAGATGTCGTTACCTCTCTTGCGTAGCTTTTCTATTTCTTTCTTTAGTATCACTAGCCCAGTAAACTTACGTGTTGCGATTTTGCTAGTGGTAGTGGTAGGCAATTTGAGGTTTTCTTTCTTGTTTTTACTACATTTCTTGACTTGTTCGTCAGTCTTTGCCTTGTGATTTGCAACCTTCTTTCCCTAGACGAACGTCTTCAGCTCTTTACGATTGCACATCGATGTCACCCTTTGTTTTCTTTAATCGGTCCTGGGATTCCTTAGTTGGCTCAGTCTTAAACTTTATTGAAATAAACTTTGTGTTTTTCTTTTTTGGAATTTCGGTACTTGAAAGCAATGCATTCAGAGGTCTCTAGCACAGAGCACGCACCTATTGTACTGTAACGTTAGAAAGAGAATGTGGGAGCGGGAGGGGTGAATGAAAAATTGTACCAATCAGTTTTGTAACTGAATTATAAGAGATTAATGTGCTATACTTGGTCGAAAATAAGATTATGCTGCATTACTTTTTGTATTATTTGATTAAAATAATTCGCAACAGAAAAAGTAGTCACAAACTCTGTTTTAGAATGTATAAGAATAAAGTGAATATAAACCGATGTTATTCGTTACTTATGTGGTTTTGCTAGTCTTATCATAGTCCAAGACGATAAAATCAGCTACTATGCCCTAAATATTATTGGGGCAACCCTTATTACCAAGACTTTCGTCAAAATGATTTAGTCCTGTATAACCATTAAGACCAATGTAAAAACTTATTTTCCTCTTGTTAAAGCCAATATTAATTTCTGGAGAAAACTAAGGGTAAAACTACACCGTGGACAAAGCGAAGCAGCACGGTCGGGGCAATCAAAATAAAACCAAAGGGAAAGACGGACGTTACCAGCCGTACCAAGAAAGGCCCGAAGTGAGGAGATGCCAGGAGAAATTCCGGCCAATGTACAATCGCTTTTATCGCTTGAAATGTACATGTGTGCACACGAACATATTATTGACAGCTTGCTTGACACTAGTAGATCTACAAAATTTCAGTGATTATAACAAGAAGGAAAACGAGGAGAGCTAGCGAAAACTGTTTGTAAAAACAAAAATGAAAAATAAAAGCAAAACACACATTGCATTTACTTTTATTCAAAGCAAGACATTATAGAATTGACCTCTTTTCAATTAATTTGTAGACTAAGATCTACCTATCCATCAGTTCTCCATAACATTCCCTTCTTAACACTCTTTCCATCTGTCTCTCATTCTTTCTTTCTCAATCGTCGAGATGGGATGTCTTAAGTTAGTAGTCTGTTAGGTGAGTTTAACCATTAACATTTCATGCAGAAAGAAAAAGGAATCACGACTCATTCAAACTGAATCTGCACATCTGCTTCAAGAGGTGAAATTCACCAAAACTTAAGATGCATTTAAGTAATCGGGTTCGCCTACTTATTTCTTTCTTTTCTCTTTAGAGTTACCACGTTGATCAGGAGAAACGGCGCCAACATTTTTCAGTTCATTTTCAACTGAAACTAAAATTGACAAGGAAAATCCCATACAACGTAACATCACTTGCGTCTCCCTCTTCGCCTTGTTCCCTGTGTTTATGCCTCGTCACCACCAAGCCTACAGTGTGACATTACCCAGAATAGGACATATCAATATACTTTGCATGCCATCGACGGAGTCTGTCTACAAAGTTAAATTACTGATGTTCGATGTTAAATATTTGAAACACCAAGCCAAGCATCCTTATCCTTGTATTTGCAATGTTTCAGACAATGATAACAAGTTGTCACCTTTAATTGCCCCAACTGCCATCCTCAAAGCTAGAAATAAGTGGCATCAACGCATGAAATCCTTGAAATGAAACTCTTAAAGAAGCTACTCATTTTACAACGATTATAACACAAAGACCAAGGCTAAATCGTTAAAATGAAGAAATCAAGCTCTTTGTCCAATTTCCATTTCGATACAACAAACACTATGAAAACCAACAATCCTTGTTTTGGCAGGATCCAAACTAATCCATTTCCTCGAGGGACTTTAAGATTTCATCAATGAATCACACATTTCGCAGTCATATAACAAAGAAAGCAAATTTTAAAGCAATTCAAGTCTTCATCATTACTAACATCTTAATCGTTAAACCGCTAGAAATTGCGTGACGAAGTCATTCATATTCACTTTCTATAGACACCGTTGTCTTGCCGGGGAATAGATGAAAGCCAAGTTGATTGGAAACCAGTGCACTTGACATAAAAACACCGCAGTAAAATTTCGAGCTACTTCCGGCAGAAGTAAACATGCAGATCTTAATCGTTAAAACGTGAAAAAAATTCAAAGACGCTACTAGTTACCGCCAAAATTTCGTAATCGGTGTAGTAATTTTGTTCTTGGTTGATGAAATGACGAAAGTGATCGCATTTCTAGTTCTACAATAAACAATTACACTTTTTAAACGATCGATTGAACTGAAGATAGGGTTACTATTTTTTATCATTTTTCGGACGAGACGAGTAGAGTTTAAAACCTAATTTTATGTCTTTTGTGTGAAAAAATGGGCCGTATTAAGCATATATTTGTCGGTTACCCTGAAAGTTCTACTTAAGATCAGTATTTACACATAATTACGAAAATGATAAGCAGGCAGTTCTTTTACGAAAATGATAAGCAGGCAGTTCTTAGAGAAATCTTCGGATGAAAACTGTCTCTGGTGAATGTTACATTTTCATACCTAAAAAATGCTGATTTTTTAACCAAAAAAAACCCCACACTGTTTCAGCATATTTCATTGGATATTTTCTGCCTAGTCCAGGTTCGGCAACCTTTTCCCTACCGGCTTAGCTCATCTCAACAATAATTTGAAATAAAGAAAGATATTTATGGTGTTTGCAGTAAGGGGTATGCGCAAGTTCAAGTTTTTAGGAGAATTCCCCATATATATATAATACATATATAATAATAATAATAATAATAGATAGCATTTGTATAACGCATATCCCCGCTCAGCAGCAGGCTCTATGCGCTTTACACTATATTATTACTCCAGCAGACCATAGAACACTCCGAAACATTCTCAGCTTCCCGGGAAGCATACAGTGCAAGCAGCCGATTAAGCGCTCAAACACTAACAAACTGACAAGATCTTTCGCTGTCTATAGCCGGGTACCCATTCCCACCTGGGTGAAGTGAGGAAAATTCGTGTAAAGTGCCTTTCCCAAGGACACTACGTCGGGCCCTTGACGGGATTCGAACCCACGACCTTACGGTAGCGAGTCCGAGAGCCTAACCACTAGGCCACCGACGCCACCTATATATATATAGCGTTTCACTGTACATCTTTATGTTAAATAAAGGCCAATAATGGCCATAAAATTAAAAAATTCTGTTGGGATCAATGACGGAAAATAGATCTTGCAATTTTGAACATTTTAATTAAACACAGTAGTCTCCGCCCAAAATCCCGGTGCACGTGGGCAAAAAAAATGCGGGATCTCAGGCGAAGGGGATCTTAGCTGACACACCAAAGGAAGAATCTACGGTGACCCATCTTATTATCTTAATGCCCACAACCGGTAAAATATTCTCTCTTCACTCTAAAATGAACTGACGTGACCCCTGGGTGAGTTCGAGCAAAGAGTGGTCAACCTTGATGACCTATCACAGTGGCATGAAGCATGCCATTTTCACTTATTATCCTATCCCAAGTCTCAAGATCTACGCTTATCCAGTTGCTCCTCCCATTTACCTGCCCAAAATTAAAAGCTTTTCATTTCGGACCAAGTTCTCCCGCCATTGGGTTACGCATTATTACGTTGCGACAACACCAGTCAAAATTCAGTCTGTCTCACAAATTCGAGGGAAGAGATAACTGCTGCAATGATCGGGGAAGAGTTCGCAGTTCGATGTGATTCCGACTAGAGCGAAGTGATGTAAGTGTAGGTGGATAGCTCTAATGCGAGTGCGATGTTTGGGGAAAACAAACGCATCGGTCAGTTCACATCTCGGTGTGATCCCATCTGGGGTAAACATTATACCATTTCATCAAGTTTTACAACGCTTATGTGATCACATTCACGTGTGAGGCAGATCTGTGACGTGACCGTCAGTAAAGTGAACTTAACTTTTCACACTTGGTTGATCGGCTGTGCCCGCCCGGGTTTTTATTCTATAAATTATGACCTGAAATGCGGGATTTTAGCCGAATGTAGACCTTCGGAGTGAATCAGAATGGGATCTTAGGGGTGACTTTTGTATACCGGTAGTAAAAAAAAAAATTTTCTTAAAACAGCAGAACCTTCAGCGAACTGGGATCAATCATAAGCAGTGGGATCTTTGGCGGAAACTACTGTATTTCCTTTGGGTCTCTCCAAAATTCAGACATTCTGTACTGTTAATAGAGTCTATGTCTAATGGTGAAATCTGTCACATCTGATACAGAACGGTTTCTCATATCCCTGCAGGAGGTACTTATGTGTCAGGGAGGTTTGTTCGATTCACAATCGAGTAAAAATGACTTCGTCTCTCCTGAAGAGGCCCGAAAGCTTTCATGGGCCCGGTTTGGGCATGATACTGTGTAGTTTGTTATTTTGTAGTTCATTCCAGTGTGAGGGTTCCTCCAACAGATTGGAGGTGTAGTTTTTAACTTGATTTTTAAAGTTTGACTGTGGGAGTGTGTTCTTCGTTGAGCCCAACTGAAGCGACAAGGATTCCTTCGCCAGGAGATCCACCCGCTCATTTCCTCAGATGCCCTCATGACTAGGCAGCCATGAGAACACAATACCTTTTTCAGTTTCAGTTAAAGTGTGTACAGTAGAACACGACTTTAGCGGGACTTTTGGTTCCAGAGGAAAAACCCCGCTGTAGGCCAGTTCCCGCTATAGGAATGCAAAGGGGAATTACCAAAATTGTTATAAGAATCCACATGATCACCTCTCTTCCCTATTATATATCAATACAATTTGTGCTTTAGATTAGTCTTTCTTTTCAATTCGAGTGAGAAGCATTTCCTTTTGTATTTGTTGGAAGTCATCTTTTCCTCGGTCTTGTTGCTGTGCTGTCTATCGTACCGGAAGGCCTACTGTAGAGTTGGTGAGGTGAATGCGTGCGTATGCCTGAGCATCAACGATCGCAATTCAATGAATCAGGAACCACTCACTACACGCTTTCCTCTTGTTTTTAGGCCTAGCCTAGGCCTAGGGCTATGGCATATATATACGCTCTTGTACTGAGAGTCTAAGCTACGGCACATCACTTTTGGAGTGGCTCACGTAACGCATCTCTCCGCACCATCTCTCTGCCGCCTGTCCCACCGAGTCACTGTATCACTGGACTGGCCAATCACAGCGCCGCACCACTGACTGCCTGTTTGCAGCCCGCCTAGAGCCCCCCACCCGCAACCCCCTTCCTCCCACCTGGAGCTCGCTCGATCTCTCCCGCAATATCCGAGTTGGGGCCTTTCCTTGTCCCGCTAAACCTGAGCACAGGTAATCGAGTTTACATAGAAAAAAAAATGGGAATTCTGGTAAGGTCCCGCTGTAGCGGGAGCCGATATAGTCATGTTCTACTGTATTGTCAGATGCAATTTATCTATTTTTGGGTGTATGATTGCGTAATTTGTGAGTGAGGTGATTCAAGATAGGGAATCAAACAGGATTAGGAAAGATGTTTTGGGGGAATTCTTTATTGAGTCGAATAGCGTATTCAATGGCAGTTGCTTCTGAAGATAGAAATGGAGGATTTCGGATGGAGCCTCTTCTGAAGAGTATATTTTGTGAACAGGACAGCAGTACCCACAGCTGAGTCCGATCCGTTAAACCTGAGCACAGGTAAGTGAGTTTTCATAAAGACAAAAAAAAGGGGATTCCAGTAAGGTCCCGCTGAAGGGATGATCCCGCTGCAGCAGGTGCCACTATAGTCATGTTCTACTGTACTGGGCAGTCGTCCACGAAGCACTTTATGGCTTTGCCTCACAAAAAAGTGTACTCTTGGTACTGCAGCTGTGTGAATTACAGCAGTGTGTATAATTTTGCCGCACTAGTTCATGTTTACAGAATATCAAATGTAGCAGTTCGGGGTTTTTTAAAATTTGGCCAATGCACCGAGTCCTGCAATTAAATTAAATGCATAATGCCCATGAAAAACAATTCGGAATGCCAGATTCCGTAAAGCAACAAAGGACATAATCTCAAAATCAAACCTGAGGCTGAAGTGTTGGGAGTGCTGTTTGTTCAAATGACAGTATATTCACAGAGTACTGGCCAACTTTACAGTGCCTTTTGCTTGATCCTGGAGCATCAGTTGAGTCACTGTCATTTGAAGAAAAGAAACGAATGTCAAATATAAATATCAAGAAAATCGAAAAGAGAACAAGGAATCCCCTTTCTCTTCTACCAAATAAATCAATACCCCCCCCCCCCCCCTAAAAAAAGTAAAAAATAACAAAAAAAATTTAATCCATCAATCCATCTTTGGAATAATTGACAAAATAGATGAAAAGAATTATAATGTCTGTTGGATTAGAAGATTTGGCTGCTTATATTAGTTTCTTTATATGTCAAGCTTCTTAACCTTTCTTATCAAGACTTTTACCTTGATTTTGAATAATGTTCATCGACAGACAAGTACATGTATCCAACATCAGCGTTTGTTGCCATTTTTTTGTCCAAAAATTGCCAAAAATATATATATATTGATAGAGGTAACTTAATCTAAAGCACCCAGAATTTCTTGAGCTCTGTTTTAAACATCCAGAATATCATTTGTAGTCACACAGAGTGTAAAAACGTGAATAATAAGGTTTCACAGCAGAATGAAGTCTACATTAGAACAGCACATAAACAACCACAAAAATTAACAAATTCTTATTCGAAGATTGGCCGTTTTAACCCTAAAAGTGTGTAATTCAAGAAAAAGTACAGAATATTACAAGTAAATTTATGGAATCACACTCAAGGGGCCAGCAGGTGACAGTATTTGGTTTTGGTGGAGACACGCTCTAACATAACACATTACATAAAAAGAAGAGAAGAACAACATCACTTTAAATTACATTACGCTGTATGAACATTTTTAAAAAAATTTAAACAACACATCAGAACAATAACAAAAAAATTAACACATCAACAAATTAAAACACAAAAAAGAGGGAAAAATAAAAAAGAAACGGCAATATAAATAGTACGTTACAAAAAAATGACGACTGTCTAGCTGCTGTCATCGAGAACAAGGAAGAAGAAGACAATTTAAGATCAGAACAAAGATTTTCTCAATTGTCTTCTTGCTATTTATAGACAAAGAACTGGTTGACCTTCAAATATCAGCCAACATCTTAATTTGCATAGCTTGACCCAAAATCAGCAAAACTGAGGGTCGCTCTGCTCCTTCTGTTAATTTACTTATTTTCAATACACATACATGCAAATGTAACATGACAACGGTGACCATGAGTCTTAGTTTTAAAAAGTTAGTTTTTCTTCCCACCCAAGGAAACCGTTGACTACTGCCAGGGAACAGTATTTTTGCTTAAACTTCCAAAAGCGACCACTTTGAAATATAAAAAGGAATAGGTTTAGGGTTAAGGCAAGGGTTAAGGTTTGGGGTAGGGGTAAGGGTAAGGGTAGGTCCCTTCTTTATTGTTTTCGTTGAAGTGGTCCCTCCTTGCGAAAGTCTTTCCTTCTTAACTTTAAGTTTAAGAACCACAAAAGGCAAAGTGAACAATCTTGCAACAGATTATAGTCGACATACATCAGTAAATTATGTTATAACTACCAAATTCTTGCCAACTGTCCCTTGTGGCCATCCATTGTAACAACATCAAAACCAATGCGGCGTCCACCAGAACGAACCTCTTCAGTGATGAACCCAGAGCATTGAATCCCTTGCTTGGTAAGGACATCATACAACTTGCTCATTAGAGTGGTTTTGCCCACTCCTGCAAAGCAAATAACGATCATAAAATTAAATTACAAAACGTTTATACTGCACCGCTTATTCTGGTCCTCTAACTTATGACTTCTCCAAAGTTCAAAGTCACTTTTAACACTATCATCATGACTGTCCTTTTTTTTCTTTTTTTTTTGGGGGGGGGGGGAGGGAGGGGGGGGTAAGTGTTTTAGTTTTACAGCGCTTGCGACTTGCAACTGCATAAGATCATATATATGAGCACTCGGGACACATTAAGCATTTTCAGTTGGTAGGAAATTTTGAATTTTGCCCGAAGGGTGGACAAAGCCTACTCTTATTGATTTTGGACCGCCTAAACACCTTTAACGTGCGCAACTTGCACAGAGGATCTCTGAGATTTTTCACTCTTTTCCAAGAAGGCTAGGTGTTAGATCATACCTACCATAAGACCTGGGGTGTGGCTGAAAGACAGCGGAAAGAAGAAGCCATGGAGTAGCAGTAGAAAGGCTGCAGAAAGAGCCAGGAGCCCAAAGAAGTGGGCAACGGGGGGAGGCGATTGTCTTTGTAGAAAAGAAAAGAAATCACTTTAGTGACACAACATTATAAGCAGAAGTTCAAATTATTATATAACAGTGACCCCTCTAGGTAAAGAGAGCGAAGGTGTCCTATGGGGTTGCTCACTCTAGTACAAAAAGAGGAACACCTCACTCATTGGTGATGGAGATTCAAAATCATTCCCACTGTATTGGTCCTTAACCCCTACGATTCCATACTCATAAAGGAGGTGGTGTGTGTCAACCATTGTGGCAAAACAGTAAGTCAAAATTGATTCTTACGTGTCATGAGAAATCAGAGTGATTTATTTCAGATACTCGATATCTCTCTCAGAAAAACGCCTCACTTATACTTAGGCTATACAGTGGAAACCTGATATAACAGGGATGGTGGGAGTAGAGAAAATGTCCTGTTATATCCGATCCCTGTTAAATCAGAAATGCAAGGAAAGTAAGCATTTGTGGACTAATCCAGCTGTACTTATTCATGGGTAGTTTCCCTTGCCACAAGTACCCACGAACAGGGGTTTTGGCACCAACTTTCTCCTTGCCTCCTTAAACCACATCAGAAGAGCTTGGTCCACAGTATCTACATTGGGTAGTCTCATCTTCTTTCGATCCAGAGCAAACTTTCCATTGGAGTATGCTGCCACTATCTTCTATCTATCCTTGATAATGGTGTGAATCGACCCTTGTGGAAAGTTGAATTGACAACAATTGGCAGCACACCGCAGCCCTCTCTCGCTTTACACGCCGCGTGTGCTTGCAGAGGCATGGCTTGCGTGGGCTTGCTCCATCACTGCGTTACTCTCTCTCTCTCTCTCTCTCTCTCTCTCTCTCTCTCTCTCTCTCTCTCTCTCTCTCTCTCTCTCTCTCTCTCTCTTTTCACATTGTTAACGAGTCTTTGTCCCTGCTATAACCGGTTGGGCTCCAATGAGGCCCTGTTATTGCCGATAACTTTTAATAGAAACAAAGAGTTGGAAAATACGGGGATTTAAAAAATCCCTGTTATTACCGGATCCCTGTTATTACCAGGCCTGATATGGTTTCCACTGTATTTATATAGATAGAGTGATTAGTTCATTGAAAACAATGTCTTATTCAATTTAAGTGAAGAGAAGTAAAAAGCAAACAATAACTGCACTTTTATAGACACATGTACTGATTTGATTAAGATTACATTCAGATTACAGATTAGGCCTAGTATTAGTGTGAGAGATAATACCCCCTTCACCTCCATTTAAACCTATTTACGCTCATCAACCGTGCTTCAATTCTTTTGTCAGCAGTTTACACACGTAAAAGTACCGTTATTGAAAATGTAATTATAGTCTGATGATGGAAAATTGCATGTTTAGCTTTGTTTTCATTACTGTTGAACTTTGTAAGCCTGTCTCTGGTGATTTTGTTGGCTTGAAAAAAATACTTTATTCCAAGAAGGACAGAATGGTTCTATAAATGAAACCATGTTTTGTATATCATATCATTTCAGTCTCAGCTCTGTACTTTGCGAAATCTGGGAGCCATCGAGGAAAAGAGAGGTGTAACGTTTGGAGAGAAAGCCTTTGGCTTTGGCGCACTGACTCAGGTACCGTATTTGAGGATAAGAAATTTCGCTTGACTATCCCCTAATTTTCAAAGTTCCATCAATCAACAATTATTGTTCCATACCCCACAAGCGAAACTCAGCTCATTTGTGGCCTATATGATGGATGTTGTTTGTTTGTTTTTTAATGGAGAAGGAAGCAAGTTCTCCTGAGACATACGGTGCTGGTCATGCGTTGTGAAGCTCGAGGGCCATGATGATGAACGCCGTTCATAATATTTTGCATTTGGCTTAATGCTTCATTACATGTATTTCATAAAACTAATAGCAGATTCGCATTCATCCACTTTTTTAATAATATTTTCGGAAATCTTTTCCTTTTAGAGATAGTAGAATTTATAAACTGGGTCTAATCATATCGTCGCCCATCTCACAAAAGGGCGTATTGTCAAAATTACAGGTTTTGAGTTATCACACCATGGTATGTCCGGTAGTGAGATCTATCTTCTCTCAAAACGGCGTATCGGTAGCTTTAAAAATGGCGGAGTTATGAGCAAAAAACATTTAGCCCTATAGCTCTCGGGCAGGAAACTGCATCTCACATAGAGGCGTATACCTTCTTACGCCCCTTTGTAAGAATATATACGGGGGCATATGACCTCATACGCCATGGTATGAGATGTTTCCTTTTGATTTCTTACTTGTAAATAAGGGGGATGCATCTCATTTCATGTTTAGTAGTCTTGCGATTCTTTCTCGCTGCATCATTGAGGGACTTTTATACGCTTTCTTACCATTAGTTTAAGTTGACAGTGTTGTTTTTGGTACCTGTGCTTTAAATTTCATCCTTGCTTTCTCAGCGTTTGATGTTCATGCACCCATAAAGTGATGTATCTTAGCTCATTTGTAAGCTTATAAACATTCACTTTTTAAAATATTTTCTACAAGTCAAAGTTTTAATTAGGTCCATGAGTCCCCAAAGATGTGGTATTGCAGAAAGTTCTGATTATATTGACGATTTAGATGCTGACCCGTCTTTCCAACCTGGTTTCTGTGCCATGCAAGAAGGACATATTTGCAGCTTGTTGAAGGTGTGTATTGCTCCTGTGCTATACATACTGTCACTTTGTGGAAGAAACAGGCTCATGGTAGTCTTTAAAAAAAGCCACATAGCATCATGAGTAGAAAACGGATAAAGCCAGAAGAGAATAACTCGGTCGTCGTTGGATATTGTTCTCAATCTGAAAATTTCATGACAGAAGGTGCTGTCAAAGAAGGGACTGCTCAGAAAGGTCCACAGTCCAATAAGTATAAAGAAGCTAACCACAAAGGACATTTTGGAGATGAGTTCCTTAGCCCTATAACGGCAACACATTTTGGCGTGCACAGGATTTGAGACAGGCAGTATGAATTTGAAAGCTATAAGAAATATGGTCGAAGCTGTCACACTATTGCGAATGAAACACACGAGGAAATGTTCCAGCAATATTACAGACTTGAAGACCATTATCTATAACATGAATTTGTCGTTGGTCACATTGACTGCTCTGAATCTATGAAAGGGACGAGCTGTTCTCACGGACAGAAGACCGATACATATTACTTGACTGTCGATGGAATTCCGCCATCCGCAAGACAATATCAGCTGAAACTATTGAAGTAGAATAAAGAGGATGATGATACCCAGCAACTGTCAAAGAAAGAGATGAAAAACTTCCCACCCCTATTAATGCTCATATTGCGAGCTTCCCCGCTGTTGACTCACATCACTGCTGTAGGTCAATTTCCAGTTAAAAGGACTAGCTCTCAAACCTGAACTGAAGAGGAGACAAAACAAAGGCTGAACAATCGCATCCACGGAAAAGCCAAAGTGAGAAAACTTAAAGAAGATGCTTTCAGCTGCAATATAATCACAAACTGAAGTGATATTATGGAACAGGCTCAACAGAGACTATTCAATAACTATTTATTTCGTACAAACCCACAGTACCAAACAGTGATCTTTAAGCCCTCCCAGAAAAATCAAGTCAAAGACATTCCATTGAACAGCCTAAAAAACTCCCTATAGCCAAGTACACTTTTCATCAGACTGGAGGAACACACAATGTTCTTCTAATCTAAATCTGCCACATTTATCTTTCTTAACAAACACTTGCACAATATTTAATTGATAAACAAAGTATTATGGGCTAAAACGTTTATAAAGTATTACACAAATTCATTACACATGCTCAGAATTTATCTTTCTACTAATATTGTTGTTGTCTAAGGATGGTGCGCAGTCCTGAATGAAAGGATCTGAGCAGTACTAGTAATTTTATACTCATTGTAATGTGCAAATTCTTATAATAACTTGAAGACAAGTAAGAAAGCTTAACTCTTTAAGTTATTTACATTTCATATCATGGAGAGCCCAAATCTGTTCAATTTTCTTTTTCTTGGTTTTTTTCACTCCCCAAAATTGATCAATTTGGCATTATATTGAGTTGATAAACCTGTTCAATAATCAAGAAAAAAATCCCTTTTCTCTTATATTCTATTACCAAACGATGTGGCGTATTGTCAATCTTGTGTCTTTACGGACATAATTATGTTCTCACAAACAGGCGTATCAGCTATTTTAGACCATTTCTTAAAAAACTGATGACGCAATATCTATAACCGTTATAATAGGGAATGATAAATCAGTGGTTGTACTAATATCTTGCCAAAAATTTTAACGAAAAAGCAAACGGTTACGCCACAGCAAGAACTTAAAAAGTGTCCAAAACTTTAAAACGCTCTCCTGAAAAATGCCAAAAATGCTCTTACCCCCTTTTGTGAGATGGACGACGATATATATATATGCAACCAACCACTAATCTTAGCGCTACTCTTTCTTTGTCCCTAGTGATCAAAATCAACAACTGTCTGGTGAAGCACAAACTGACCCTGTGTAATGAAGGGGTTAATGCCCATTGTCTTGTAGTCTCGTAGTACTTCATGCATTCACTCACTCTCAGACTCAGACAAGTGTGTCAGTGGAGAAAAGGGATTATCACTAGGCCCTAGGCTAGGCGTACACAGTTGTTGAGTTGTTGGTGTGTAGTGTGCACTGTGTAGACTGTGTACGCGGCATATCTGTTGGCCAACAGTGAAGGGGTTGTGGGGAAAATTAACATTAGTAGGCTTCATTTCAGGTAGGGGGCAAATAGTAATAGTAGCCTATGTTTATAAAGGCATTCCTTTTCGTGCTTTGGCAAAACCTGGTGGAAAGCTGGGCTAGTAAAACAGGGTGGCAGTTTTGCAGGGTTTGGGTGTATAATATTCTGCTTTCTTGTCCTTTTTTGTTTTTTGTTGTAAATGAAATTGGACTCTATCAGCTGAATTCTTGTGCTTGGGGTCTGCATAAATAACTCCCTGCTGCTTAGAGTGTTTAATGTTTTTTTAGTCTGCAATTACAATTTTGCCATTGAATCGGATACTAACTTCTGTTTGCAGAGGATAAAAAGAACACCTAATTCCTTATTCTTATGGGTTTTTTCCAGATTTTTTTTCTCTTCTATTCTTTTCAACCATAAGAAAATTGGATGTCTCCAGTCCTATTACACAAAACCTCTGAGGTCGTTCAACTCTTTCCACTGCTAATGTGAGAAGCAGTGGTGGCCACGTTGCTGCACAGCACCAGCACAGATGGAGACCCACATCCTGACAGATGCCCACTTACTGGTGAAAACAACTGGTGCTTTTACATTATAACACAGACAGGTCAAACACAGAAGACTAAAAATCACGCATCCGTAGAACTGTGCCTGCGGTCCCGGGTTGTTTTTTTCCTTCTTTATCTTTTAAAAATATCCTTCGAACTACAGATCCCTCGAACTACGGATGCCTCGAACTACCGAGGCCAGTTCCAACTAATTCGAGCTATCTGTGTTATACTGTACTTTTACAAAAGGCATTACAGCCAAGGAAGCACAGCACTATCACACAAGGGAAGGCTTTCTGCCCACTTCAAACCCCCTCATTTATGAAGCCTGTGCATCCAAGATGAGCTAATGGAGATCAAGTATGTGCCTGGTGTGAATGGGAGTTTCAATATGTTCACACCTGGTTGAAGCAGTGCCCTAAGACGGTCTTTGTGACCAAACCAAGAGTAGAAGCAGCTTTTGCTATCATTACTGCAGACTGGAAGTTGGGGGCCCTTGGCACCCAGACCTTTATGCCGTTTCTGAAGTTGCAGGTCTGAGCCCAAACCATGGACAGTGGCATCAGAAGGGACGGAACGCAAATATAGAGGGCAAAGACTGGCATAGAGGGTGTGGCTTAGAAAAACAGAAAAGGAACCATCTTTTATAGGAGGAAAATTGGACTGGCAGACGTCTCTACTGCCCAGGAAGAGGGACTGATTAGGAATAAAGAAGTCCTTCGGCTATTTATGGCTCTGTTTTCCTCTTTTGGCAACTTGGAGTTCCATGTTTTTGACAAATTTCCCTTAATTTCTTCTTTTCAGTTAATACTACCGCTAAATTGACCTCTCTGTTGCATCACTACCTACTGTATTTTGGGGGGACTTTTTCCTTAAAATTAGATATAAAAGAATTGGGTACATTGACAAATGATTAATTGTTTTTATACAATTCAATTCATGCTCCTATCTGTTTCCTTTAGAAAGTTATGACAAAATCAGTGCATTTTTTCAAGTTTTCTCAAAATGACAAAAATTAAGGGGTATGGGTTGCGGCCCGGACTCTCATTTAAAACTCAAAAGAAGGATTTTTTTTATATATGGCCTGACTATGTGAAAATGAAGATCTTGGGCGGGCTTTTTTTATATATCTCTCACCGATTTCGAAAAATGCAGTTTCAAGTGCTTCAGTTGATGCAAAAATGCAAAAATTAATAGAGTCAAGCAATAGCTATGACGTTATCCTCAATATCTCTTTAGAGGTTTCAAATATATAAAAAAGCCCACCCAGGATCACAGATTTTATTGTTAGTGTGCTTTTATGTGAAAATGTAAGCACTTTAGTCAATAAACTGATTGAGCGAGAGCGTGGGCCGGATTGAGTCAAAATTGCTTCTCTGTGCCCCCAAAACATGAAATATTTTTTAATTCCTTAAAGAAAGAATAAATTTTGCTATTGGATTTTCAGTTTGAACTCCTGGGGTGTTTTATGATCACTCTGAATGATGCTGGGATGTGTTAATAACAAAGTTAGAAACATTAACTGGCACCTACCCTTAAGAGTTAGGGCTTGGGTTAAGCCGCCCATACACAATCAATTATATTGCGCAATCCTGGTTGCACAATAATAATAATAATAAATTACATATTTATATATAGCGCTCAACCCCGTTTAAAGTACACAGGCTCTGAGCGCTTTAAAATACAGTACAACGTACAACAGTACATAAAACGTTGAGTTCTGACTAAGTACGGCTAGACTCGCAGTCTAGCCGTACTTATTCTTAATATGATGGCTAGACTGACCATTTACAAAAAATAGGCCTACTGAATTGTAATACATTTTTAGTGTGCAGTACCTAAAGTGTATTTGAGACGAAACCAGGTGCCTTAATGACAGTGCATGTATTTTAAACTAATTTTTTAAACCTCCTGTTTTCTAATGTTAATAGGGCCTAAGATAAGTACGGCTAGACTGACTTCTTGTCTAGCCATACTTAAGTACGGGTAGACAGCCAGGCTAGCCGTACTTAAGGACGGCTAGACTGTCAGGCTAGCCTTACTTAATATTGATGGCTGAATTGTAAATGAAATTTTTAGTTTGCAATGCCGAAAGTATTTGTATTTCAGACAAAACCAAAAGGTGCCTTACTGACTTGCATGTATTTGAACCTGAATAATTACTAGATCTAGACTAGATCTAATGAGACCTGTGTACTTAATAGGCTTGAGTCGATAGGGCCAAACCTAGATCTAAGTACGGCTAGCCACTTCGAACTAAAAATGTATAATTTACAATTCCGTAGGACTATTTTTTGCTGTTTGTCAGTCTAGCCATCATTTATTACGCACGGTTAACTAACTATTAAAAATACGGCTAGGTTAGCCGTACATAGAATCTATAGTACGGCTAGCCTGCCAGTCTAGCCATGCTTTTAATTAAGCTAGCCTAGCAGTCTAGCCGTCATACAGCTACCTCTTCTTTTAGAAAATGAGTATGACATGGGTCCATAAGTGTAAAATAATACCCATGAGAGGTATCATCATGTAGAGTCTAGAATCTAAACCTAGATTTTAGATCTAGATCTAGATCTAGATCTAGATCTAATCTAGATCTCTATATCTAATCTAGATCTAGATAGATCTAATCTAGATCTCTATATCTAATCTAGATCTAGACATCTAATTAGAACGTACACATGACAAGATACAGTCGAAATTACTCAAGATGGCCAGTGCTCGAGACGTTTCAGACGTCGGACAGCGATGGACATTTTGGACAGTAGTTAAGTAGGCCTAGATTCTAGATTCTAGCTCTAGATCTAGAATCTAGATTTCTATATATAGATATCTAGATCTATATATTTCTATATATATCTAGATCTAGATCTAGATTCTAGATCTAATCTAGATTATAGATCTAGATATAGATCTAGATCTAGAATCTAGATCTAGATATCTAGATTCTAGGTGTCATTACATAATTAATTCGATTTCAAACAAAAATAAATTTCACTCGACCCAACGCAGTTACTGCAGCCTGATAGATTCTAGAGATCTAGAATCTAGTAGATCTAGATCTAGATCTAGATCTAGATCTAGATCTATATCTAGATCTAGATTAGTAGTACGATTTTCACCTGGAACTCCAGTAAGAAGCAAATGTCGAGGCAGTAGACTAGAATTGCTGGTTCTTGAGGCAATCGAAGAAGCCATATTATCACGTTCCGTTTCAAACGGAAGGACAAAATACAATAACAACTGGTTTCTAGGCTGTACCAGAAGGCTGTTGTACTGTAAGATCTATTGTTGACCTCCTAATCTCCAAAGATAGTACATGTCGACTCTTTGCTACCTCCTAGTCCTAGCCTCTGCTGCCTCTTGTCTCCCCCCAGCGAGAATGTTTACGTCATTTTTACGGATTTTCCCGAACGAAACAGAGGGAGTATGTCTCCCGTTGCTATTCGCACTTTACTTTAAACTACACATCAATGTACTGGTAGGCCTAGTATAGACAGCCAGAGAGAACGTAGTAGTATCAGCCAAGACACAGTAAGACAAGACGGGACAACAGCCTCATTTTCGTTCCAACTGGCTCCCCTTGGTAACCAGCTAGCCTAGATGCGCGTTTAAAGCGTAAACAAACGACTGGAAGAAAGAGCACACTGTTCAACTCGCTGAAATAGCTGCCTAGCCTACTTTGAATTTCATAAAGGCAGTTTTGCCTTGGTTTTTTTTCCATATAAACAGTTTGGTATTTATTTTGACTGTTTTTTGTTCACATTTTGAATATAGCGAGTTGAGAAATTTAAGGTTTTTATGAACGGAAAGCGGTAGAGGGTTGAAAATGATGATGTAGATCTAGTAGTTTATGAAACGTAGAAGTAGATTAGATCCTACAGTTTAAAAACGACAGAACAGCCAGGGGTGCTCTGCAACGAACTGTTGTCTAACAGAATATACAATAGATTGGATATATTTAAAACAATAGATACGGCCACTGCTAGAGTCCGGCAGCCTAACTGTTGACTAGATCTAGATCTAGATTACATAGATCTAGATCTAGATCTAGATTAACTACACAGCGAGCTGTTCCCCCAATGTCAGAATCAATGATCATGAACTGAAGCTAGGAAAAAATGGCACTCCTGTACAATAGCGGTCCCGTTTGCACTAAATCACTCAAGGCCTAAAAGTGCCCCTGTAGTAATTTTCACGTGTTTCTTATTTAGATTTAGGCCTAGATTATAGATATTTAGAATCTAGATCTAGATCTAAGTATAGATCTAGATTTAGATCTAAATTGAATTAAAATTATTGATCTAATTAAGATCTAGATCTAAATCTAGATCTAGATAGATCTAGCTATCTAGATCTAGAAATACATCATCTTGGCTATCTACATCTAGATAGAATCTAGAGATATCTAGATCTAGATCTAGATCTAGATTCACTTCCACGTGACAATAATGGCCGTCATGTAAACATTAAACGGGACCACAATAATGGTGCACCGGAAAAGAAGCCATTGACACAAGCACAGAAGCTTGGCGCTAGTAGATCTATCTACTGTTAATATGATAGTATGAATCAAGTTGCATGTTATATACATGTATATCTAGATCTAGATCTAGAGTGTCTCCGCCAATTCACAGACATACCGGTAGTCAAGAGTCACCCTTCGGTCATTCGCCAACACCACTTACTTATAGGG